GGGGGCAGTCGGGATCGGAATCGAGGCCGGTGGGTCGAGCGGACGCTTGGGCCGCGCCGGCGAGCTGCATCCAGGTGCACCGGAATAAGCGGTGGATGCACGCGCTCGAGCCAGGCCCCGGGCGCGTTCGTTCACCCGCCCCCGAAATAGCGAGCGACGCGGAAGGCGGGGCGGCCCCAGTGACCGCCGTCTGTCTAGCTCAGGGGATGGGTTAAAGGCGCGGACCGACGTGGGGAAAGAGCTGCGGCCCCAAACACCGTCGAGCGCGGCTGAGAACGTGGCTCGTTACCACGTCAATCTGTCGCCGCCTCCACCTGCTTCACCGGCTTGGGTGGCTCAGGGCATCAGGTGCCTCGGACTGGGAGGTCCTAGGGTTTGAGTCCCGACGGCAGCAGGATTTTCGACACTAGCTACTTAGCTATGACAAGATCGGCCGCTATCTGGAGGAGGATTCTAGCGGCCAGCTGCTGTGATCGGTAGTTTTCCGTGTTTTTTTTTTTTCTATCAACAGACGAATGCCGAAACAGAACCCTCACAAACGGGCCATGGACCGCGCGCGATCTTTCCTTCGTCTTCCTTGTCCTATCCTCACCGCTTTCTTACACACACACATACACACATGAATTGCAGTACTTCACATGTCGGGAGAGCAGTTGGGAGCTTAGAGCATGCCCCGGCTGGAGTAGTGCCCCGCTGCACTGGTGGGAGATACCTGGTTGAGGAAAACTTTGCAAGTAGACGTGTAGGTCGGCACTGGATCTCACCATCCAGCTGGGGGGGGGGAAGTCACCACCACCTCCTGTGGTAAAAAAACAACATATCCTACACTCACGCGACTAATGATATTAACAGTTGATGCGCACAGCAACTTCAATCAATCAATCAATCCACCTGCTTACTTGTCCCATCCAGAGACTTTGGGCCGTTAGATCCAAGTCGGACTCGCCGTAGTAGGACTGCCTTTAAAGCTACTGCTTCTTGGGCAGAGTCCGTAGTATTTATCTCTATGGCATATTAACTCGCCACGTAAAATAAGTCAAATTCAATTCAATTAACTCTAAGGCTAAGGTGTGGATGGGACGTGTCCGTAGAGTAGGCAAACCTGGAAAAGCTCTTGCCCAAATAGGAGACATGAGTTCTCCAGGCGATCTTCGTGCGTCTTGGCCCACACTGCATCGCGAAGGCGCGGGCGAGACGAGTTTGTGTCTTCGCTCAGGGATGGGCAAAAGTTTAATCGGCAATAAGGTATCTTTAAGCGGGCTTCTCTAGCGCTAAAGCCTTTAGTTTTAACGGCTCAGTTTCTCGAAACTAATTGAATCCTAACGAATATTTTTTCTGCCTAAAGACTGAGAGGTAATATTCGTCTTATATTAATTTACGAAGAGTTTTAATATAGCAGACTGAAGTAAGATAAATCTCCCGAGGTCTTGTCCTAGTGCAACTTCCCTAATCTTTATATATATATATATATATATATATATATATATATATATATATATATATATATATATATATATATATATATACATACATACATACATACATACATACATACATACATACATACATATACACTCATATGTGTGTGTGTGGTATTTCGTTTTTAGCGGAACCCAAACTTTTCTCGTCACGTAATCCTCGAAAAGTAATCCTCGTAAGTCTTGCGGAGTACTATATTAGTTTCCGATCCCAATTGTGCTTATATTTTTCTGCATGTTACTTGTGCTCAAATATTCTTTCGCGCCCTTTCGTCTTTCCCCTCCCCCTCCTCCTCTTTCCCCTCCTACCCTTCTCATCCTCCTTTTCCGTGCTCTTCCATATCCCTAACGGAATGTTTGCTGCCAATAACAGATAATGGCTTAATTATTTGTGATAACTAGTGGTTTGACTCCGCCTCGTACATGACATCCACAAGAAGAAAACGAGTTTGCCGTGCGCGGGATTTGAACCTCGCAACGGTTGCCGACGTAGCTCTCTGCGCTATTTAGGTTGCTCTTGCGCTCGAGAATGGATTTATTCGGCGGTGTAACTAAGGTAGTCGGCCCGTCCCAGTGGCATTTTTAGGGGGGGGGCACTTTCTATCCCCTGTCTTTTTATAAACATTGGCACAACACCCTTCCCCATTTTTATGCGTTACATAATCAGGGATTGGTCTTTACACAAGGTGTTGGTGAACAGACTTGCCGATTCGGGCAGTACTCGAGTTGCATCGCTGGATGTGTTATTTGTAACAATACATTTTGATGTAATGTAAGTACCTGACACCTCTTTACTTCTTCTGAGATTTCTTGTTTAAATGGTGGAGCATGATCAATAAATTGTTCATTTTTATAAGAAACTGATTATCAAATAGGGCATCTCCTCATAAGGTATGTGAGAAAACAAACTAATTATTACTGGCAGTCCAAGGGAATTCCGATATCAGGTTTGATGTATGGTGAATTGATTGTCTTGTATTTCCCATGTATAATTAGAACGTTTCTTGACCAAAAAAATTGTTTACGTACGCCGCAGAAAGAGTGGAAATTACTAGTTTATCTAAATGTCGCCAGTCGGTGGGTTCGAAAATGTCCAACGTAGACAACGTATTTTGTTCATCACTGGGTCTGGGTGGTGCAAGTAGACGGTTTTGAAGCCCTATTGTCGCTTAAAAGAAAGGAGTAAAAAGACTGCAGGGTCATCCCTAGTTGCAAGACGAGAATTGAGTCGAGAGTTGAAAGACGAGGTGTGAGATGCTACCGTTGTAAGACCGGGTGGAATGTGGGCCCACCCCTAGCCCGGGGTGAATTAATACAACAGGAAACCAAGCACGTGTTTAGGACCCCCTCTGTAGCCCCTACTTAATAAATTCTTGAACAAAATTGTATATGTGTTCGTAAATATGTGAACATATTTTTATCGTATAGTTGTGTCCGTCTTATTTTTTTAGACAGTCAGTGTTAATAATACGTCAATATTACTTTACACAGAGGGCAACAAAGAATTAAATGAGCACAGTTTTATTATTACTTTTTAAATTGACAAGTTAAAGTTATTTTTGCATTGTTTTTTATTGCGTATGGACAATCCAGTATCACGGCGCTTCATAATTTGATCGTGCTTACGGTCGCTCTGGTCCCATTGCCTCCCCTCGGTCACGTTGCAATTATAAATAGTATCGTTTTGCATGTTTGAAATAATACAGTATGTGTATTACCATGTGTGTAATACTACGCCACAAACGATGACAGCGTTGCTGCAGTACCTTTTAGCGAGAGCGCGAGAGAGATACCTTTTTGATACAAATGAAGTTTTCGTAGAACAAAGGGGAGAAATGCCGTATGTTCGAACATCGTAATGTCACATAAGAGTTCAGTAGGGAATATTACATCGAGGGGGGAAAAGTTTTTCCTTCGTTGGCTCAAAATTTGATTTTTTATATTTATCAAGAGAAAACCTAAATTCCGAACATGTTTATTTTTTACTTTTATATATAGTTGTTATAATTGTTTTTGGGGGGGGAGTCGCGAATTGGCCTGATATGACCACGCGAACGTACAACTACACTTGCCGAGGCATTTACGGTTAGTACTAAATGCACTCAATAGAACGACATAAACGTCATTTTGGTGAATTATTTTGATAAAAAAAGTAAATGAGAACTTGCCTTTTCTCGAAATTGTTGAAATAACATATTTTCTCAAAATCGGCTCGTTTTCGCCCTGAAAATTTGGATACTAAAAAAGAGTTCAGTTGTACGTTTCCCCAAAGGGTGATTTCTACCCATTTTATTCGGGGCGCGAAAAAGAAATGGGCACTGAAAAATGTGTGAAGGCGTATATATGTATGCAGAGTTCACACATTTTTTTTCTTCGGATAGAGGAAATGACACTATAAAAAGTCTCATTTTCGTTAAACTCTGAATTTTTTCGAAAAATTTCGAAAATTGCAAAAATTAGAAATAATGAGCGAAAGTAATTGCTGTTGTCGCACAACAAGTTCTATTCTGCTGTTAGGAGAGAGAGAGAAAAATTGAGAAAATGTGAAAACAAGGTTTTTTCAGACGCCGATACGTAGCAGCTGGGTAGAGAATGGGGGCTAAACCGAAATGCTAGCCCAAACAAAAGAAATTAAGAAACTTACTAATACGAAGTAGTCTGGGCCAATTTATAGCCCCACGAGTTCAATTTGGCCGACTTGGAGGCAGTGACCCACAAGGCTCTGATTTTCTTCTCAATCTCACGCGGTGAGTTCTTGGGATTATTGATAAGAAGAAAATGACTTATAAAACAGACTTCTACTACTGCAGACAAGGTTGTAAACTGGTGGATTATGTGTTACGAAAGAATGATTATGAAAGCTGAAAAAACCTACGTAGATGGTGGGGGGCGAGTCCACAACCTGTCGAACTGCGACAGTCACGGTGCTCAATTATATTAATTGTTCATTATAACTACGTGAACTTGAGGTATTATGATTTCTTGTGTCGGAAATTGTTTTTCTCTAGCAACAATGTATA